CAGCCTGGTTTTACTAGCGATAATTGGGTTTCAAGTGAAACCATCACGGCTTCTACAGCGTCCCAGAAAGAGTCATCTAATAGCAAATTTGAAAACACTCTCCAAATCACTTTGGAAAACGTGAAACAAACGGCTCCTGGAGAACCTTCAGCCAAACCTTTACGTAAGGTGCTGCTTCCAACACCTCCAAGTACATCTTTCCAGCCTAATTTCCCCACATCAACTGACAGTCAGTGTTTGCATGATATGCATAAAGTGTCATGGCCAGATGAGTCAAAGGAAATGATGGGAAGAGATTCTTTCTCAAATCCAATGTTCACTCCTCAGGAACAGGCAGCTGGTCACTTTGAACCAGAGAGGGGTCTTTCAGCAATGCAATATGATGAGCAAAGAAATCAGTCTCATCAATTTGTCGAACAAACTGAATCTCCATCAATTCAGGGTGAGGGTGGACCTTCTCAACAGCACTTTGAAGAAAACCGAGCTGGACCTCAGTTTGCTTTGTCGGGGCAGAAAGGAGGACCTCCACAACCACTCATGCAACCTGGAGGACCTCATGGACCTAATTTTAGAGGACCGGCCCCACAGTTCCCTGAAGAGCATGGTTTTCCAAACAATGATGGGCAAAGGGGGCCTCCATCTGGAAGATTTGGAGGTCAAAAGGGTCCCATTCCTTCCTTATTTTCTGCACAGCATGGACCATCCTCTCTTTTTGGTGATAACAGGGGCCCTGCCCCTCCTTATCACGGTGTTCCAAGAGGAATGTCACCATCTCAGTTTGAAGATCCCAGGGAACCTCACATGGAACAAAGGGAATACTCAGATTCCCAGTATAATGAAATGATTAGGCCTCCAGGGCAGTTTGAAGGACCAGATCAACCTCAGTTTATGGGAAACAGAGGACCTTCGCCTTTCCCTTTTGGAGGTCAGAGACGACCCCCACCAGCTCAGTTTAAAGGACAGAGAGGAGGCCCTCAGTTTGGAGGGCCAAGAGGTCCAGCCCCGAGTCATTTTGGGGGACCAAGAGGGCCTCACCCAAATCAATTTGAAGGGCAGAGAGGACCAGCTCCAAATCATGTGCCTGGTCCAAGAGGACTTTTGCCACAGCCGTTTGAAGAGCGGAGAGGGAATTCACCACCCAGATTTGCCAACCAGAGAGGTCCAGCACCAGTTCAGTTTGGAGGACCAAGAGGATCCACACCTGCAATGTTTCCAGAAGAAAATGAGCCTCCCTCTTCTAGGTTTCATTTCCAAGGTCAGTCACAAGGAATGAAGCCAAGCCCAAGACCACTCCTGGACCTTCCAAGCCACCCGTCCCACAGAAAAGAGATGTGGGATGAAGCTGGACCATCTGCATCTGGTTCCAGTATTCCTGGACAAGGACCTGACTCGGAGGGACAGTGGTCAGCATCTGACTTCCGAGAAGGCAAAAATCCTGAGTTCAGAGGCCAGGCATTTGAAGGGAGACAGAGAGACAGATATGAGGGAGGAAATAAAGACAAGGGCTTGGATCAGCCAGAGTCTCAGCAAGCAGATAATAGACAAGGCAGACCCTTTGAGGAAAGACGAAGGGATCGAGAACACAGCAGACCTTGGGAAAGAGACCGTGGCAGAAACTGGAATAGAGACCGGGACTGGGAGAGACACAGAGACAAGGACTGGGACAAAAATAGAGACAGAAACCCAAACAAAGATAGAGAGAAGGATTCGGACCGAGGTAAGGACTGGGAAAGAAGCAGAGACCGAGACAGAACCAGAACCAGAGAGAGAGACTCCTACAGAAGACGTGACAGAGATCGATCGAGAAGCAGAGACAGAGATCGCGACAGAGACAAAGACCGGGACCGGGATCGGAGCAGGGAAAAAGACAGAGATCGAGAGAGAGATCGAGATCGTGACAGAGACAGAGGAAAAGATCGCAAAGATCGGAGCAAAAGTAGGGAAACCGGTAAAGAGGTGAAGCCTGAAACACCGAAGGAAACTCAGAAACCATCAGAAACAGAAGCTTCATCTTCCACTAATCAAGCATAGAACTAAGACTGATATTTCCCGTAATTAATAAACTTTTAGAACACAGCAAGGACTGAAGCAACATCTTGTATATACTGTATATTCTCACCTTTACAGGAATCCCTTTGTAAAACTAGCCTTACACGATGTCCTGACAAATAATAAGCAATTTTGGAACAACTGTGAATGCAACTACTCGAATGGGTAAAAGGCAAGAACACACCGGACTGTCACTTGCTGCATTTTGTGCATAATGTTTTTCTTATCCGAATTCACAGCGTTACCTGTACTGAGATTTTGGTTTTTCTACTTGCATCTTTATCTTAAAGTTTCCATTTACAGTACAGAAATGGAAAAAGTCTAAGAAGAGCATATTGCTTTTTAAGATTATAAAGTTATGTTTTCCAGTAACTTGAATTGTAATTTTATAAGAGAATTTAATCCAGACCTTAGGAGCCATACTTTTACATCTCATTTACGTGATATTTTGGTGTCAAAAGGTGATCCTACAGCACATGCTTTAATAAAAAGGAGTCCAATGTTGCTGTCTTGCTTATTTGACAACAGAAGGGTCATGTCTATTTAGGCAAAGGCTGCAGAAGAACAGTGTTAATAACTACTTGTGGCTGATGAGGATTTGAAAATGGAGTGTTATGAGCTTAAAGTGCACTGTCTTCCTTTTTATATACAGGTATTTTGTGGTTTGGAATCCATCTGTTAAGTGTACAGCAAAGAAACCAGTCGTCCTTGGGGGTTTTTCGTGAGGGTGAGGGGTTTTCATTGTCACATTTTTGCAGATCTGTGATTAAAGAACATAAAACATAGCACCTTTACAAGCAGCAAAACTTAAGAAAGCCTCAGTTCTCTGAACAAGGCTAAGACTCAAATGAATTGGCTTACCAAAGGGGAGTAGTTGGTTAAATAGGCAGCTGAATCTGTTCCTTTGATTGAACTGATTTAGTGGAGCGTTTCTGTGGTTTGCTGTGATTTTCCAGAACTTTCCCATACACTTAAGAAATTCCCTGGGTTTTTTTTTTTCTGTTGGAGCCTGCTTAGCCTGGTGGTGTCTATAAACCTGCCCACTGAAAAAGGTACAACTGCATTGAGCTTGGAAAGAAGAGCAGCGGGACTTCTTGGTGGGATTCAAGCGGGACTTTTCGCTGTGAAATCCATCACACGGCTCCTTTTCATGTGGTCCTCATTCTGAAGTATGAAATAACCCCCTCTAATTTATTTGACCGTCTAAATGGACAGTTGGGTAAATATTTTGATATTTTTATAAGATAGTTTTGGAGATATAAAACGAGATTCCTCATAAAAATTTACATCTTGGAGACTGCGAGTAGCGTGTAAGCCGTGTGGCACAGTTCACATCAGTGCATCTTTGAAGCCCTGCTACATGGAGGATTTGCCGGTGGAAATGATCGTCTGTATCCTGAACCTGTAGGCACAGCATTACAATGCAGAGCTGGTATGAAATGCAACCATCTCCTATGGTGTAAGATTTCTTTTCTTAATGAGATGTTTCTAATTTAAAGACACCCATAAACGTATGCAAGGAGTGTGCTTGTTTAGGTTTACTTGATAGAAATCTCTGTAAATTGTATTTTATATGGCAAATTATATCACTGTACATGAAAATACGGGACTTGGCAGGTTTTTGTTACTGTAAAGTAGAATAAACCTCTACAGAGAACTGTTGTCCCCTTCTTAAATCTCTATGTGAATGTTACTGTCTAAATGTTGCTGCTTCTCAGTGAACCACAGGAGACTGATGTCACAAGGGTTCCTTTCCTCATTGTTTAATGAAGAGAAGATGCATCGCTACCAAGTGAGGCTTGGTTGTAGGCGGTCTAAAAAGCCTATGAAAATCTGTGCTTCTGAGTCTGAGTTCTAAAACATGCTCTGGTTTATTCTGAAGGGTTTTTTGTTTGTTTGAATTAGGAAGTTTGTGATTTGTAGATTTTACAGCAAAAAAAAAAAAAAATGGCTAAAGAAAAACTATATTCAGGTCAGCTTTGAGCTTAAGAAAAGCTCATTCACAACATGTATGAATCCTTGACTTTATATGAAATAGATGTATAGCTTTTCATCTAACACTCCTGCATCATAGATCGGTTTGGGGAATCTCTTCTGACTTCAGAACAGTAAATGCATCCTGGCATTTAACGGCCAAAAAATCAACAGCATGGAGTCAGGCATTAACGACTTTATTAAAGCACAGCTTTAGACAGTTTATAATGACCTGGACCTGGATTTTGCAGCCAGGTTCCCGTGCTCTTTGGGGAGAGCTTAGAGCAGCTCCAGTGCCTAAAGGGGCTGCAGGAAACCTGGAGAGGGGCTTTGGCCAAGGGCCTGTAGGGACAGGCCAAGGGGAATGGCTTTAACCTGCCAGAGGGGAGACTGAGATGAGCTCTTAGGCAGAAGCTCTTCCCTGTGAGGGTGCTGAGGCGCTGGCACAGGGTGCCCAGAGAAGCTGTGGCTGCCCCATCCCTGGCAGTGTTCAAGGCCAGGTTGGACACAGGGGCTTGGAGCAAGCTGCTCCAGTGGAAGGGGTCCCTGCCCGTGGCAGGGGTTGGAGCTGGAGGAGCTTTAAGGTCCCTTCCAAGCCAAGCCAGGCTGTGACTGTCATTGCTGTGCAGCCGCATTCCGGTCACCGGGTGTCTCCCTGCTCTTGTCAGTTTCCCGGCTCGACTTGGACAAAGCCCCAGCCCCTCAGGGCCGGATCCCCACCCACTATCGCGATCGATATCGCGATCGATAACGCGATTGATATCGCGATGGATCCACGGCTCCGCCCACCGGGTGCTTCAACCACCGCCTCTGGGGCGGGGCAAAGCGGGGCGGGGCGCAGGCGGTCACGAGGGCGGCTGTTGGCGGCGGCGGCGGCGCGCGGGGGGGGGAAGCGTTGGGGCGGGCTTGAGGGGCGGCGGCTCCCGCTCCCCACACCGGGCCCGCCGCGTCCCTGCGCTGCGGGGACACCGGGGCCCCTCAGGCCCGTGGGCGCTGCTGTGAGGGAGTCGTAGGTACCTGGAGCCCCCGCTTCCTGCGGCAGGGCAGATCCGTGTCTGTTGAGCGGGAGGGAGGGCGGTGAGGCCGCCTGTGGTGGTCCCGCGCTGCCCGGGCGTTGTGAGCCGGCGGTGTTGGAAGCGCGTGGGGTTTTGTTTTTTTCTTCTTTCCCTTCTGTTTTCCTTTTTAAACGGGTAGCACTGCTAGTTCTGTCAGGGTTTGCTGGTTTACCGTTGAAAGAGAGCGTTGGTAACCGGTTAGTAGCCATGTCAGGATCGGCCCCGGAGGAGCCTCAGACCTCCATCCCTCAGAGCACACCCAGTGTTGCCGATCCCGCTCCGGTTGCTGTCGGACCTGGAGGCTCAAGGGACGTTTCCTTTGGTGAGCAAAACCTTAGCTTCACCGCCCCAGACGTCAGCCTGGTGGAGATGATGGAAACCGAGTACACCCAGCTGCAGCACATGCTTTACCCACACGCCGAGGCGCAAGCCAGCGAAGGTGAAGCGCAAGCCAGGCTCAGAGCTTTCTCCTCCTCCTCCTCCTCGCCTGGTAACCCTGCAGCCCCCCCTCTGCAGCCCTCACCGCGCAGCAGGCAGGAAGGGGGTTTAGCAAGCAGCACTGGGAACCCAGGGTACCGGGTTAGCTGCCGGTCAGGGTTACCCGCTGACAGCAGCTCAAACGCACGGCTGGGCTATGGTGACCTGCCGGAGCTCAGAATGATGCTACTTAGCGAGTCTAACCTCCCTTTGAGCCATGCAGATAAAATGCCTCACAGTAGCTCGGTAGCAGTCCCGGGGCAGAGCTTAGTAAAAGTTAAACACGGTGAGAATGGTTTTGGGAGCAATAAAGGAAACATACCTGTTGAAAATTCGGCACCCGAGCCTAAATCTAAACCTGCAGTCAGAGTTCGGTTGGAAGACAGATTCAACAGCATCCAGACAGAGAACCCCAGATGTCAAGAACCCCAAGAATCTGGAGTAACCCTTAACAAGTGTGTTGCAATTACTTTTAGTTTATGTTGTTAGACTGTGTACCATCGTAGAGTTCAAAGCTGGTTTTCTAAATGAAGCTTAAGAGCCGTACTTTGATTTAATACGTGAGAATGATGAGTTGGGCTTTCTAAAAGGTGGCTGCAACTCCACTGACTCAGATTAGGGCCCTCTGCACATTGCATGAATGGTGCAGCATGTAGTTCCAAACTGAAGTAGTTTACAACTTTATTCTTGATAACAACATGCAATATAAATAGAGGTGAGAGAAGAACATTTAACATCAGCTTGCTAAAAGCAAAGGAGATTATTTTATCATACTAAAATGTTAAGGGCTGTTGATTAGTGTTACAACATAGTGGCCACTGTGGGGAACACCTTGAGCAAAGATACTGTTTCACCCCTGGCCCTGTAACTGTTAGTGTGCTGATGAAACATCTCCTTGAGGCATAAAGCTTGTGTTACTGCACAGAATGAAATACCTTCTCAGCTCATTGTCCCTGAAGCAGGCAGTATGGCAATAAGAATGATTTCTCTTTACAGTAAATGGAAGTAATTTCTTGGTGGGAGTGACTAGAAGTACGTGTAGCTGTACCTCTTTCTGTGCTCATTTTCAGGTAGTCAGTCTGGTATGTTTCCTGTGTCGTTTCTTTGTGTGTGTGTTTCTTTTTAAGTTTAGTAACATTGATTCGACAGCCGTCGGAACTGATCGGCGCTCCTCTCTATCAGCAAGAAAACAAGTGTGTTGCACTAGGGAAAAATAAGATATCCCCCGCCTCTCCTTCCTCACAGTTCCCATACCCAGTATTGACTATGAATGCATGTTCTACTGCTGGAGGTGCCAACCCTTCACAGGCACAGGTAGGTAACGTAGTCACCTCTAGTTGTGCTCTGCTGATTTCAAAAGCTAATAGTGTTAACCTCTTAGGTGCAATATAATTCTAGAGGTTTATGTTGAAGTGTGACTTGGTTTGAATAAGGATGGTCAGAATGAGCTGTAATTTATTTATTCTTACATTAATCTTTAAGGCCATCCAAAAAACCTTGCTCAAATCAATGGTGTGGCATTTGTAACAACCTGCATCTAGGTAATGATCAGTAGGCTGTTAAATTTATTACTAGAAAGGTTGTATTCTTGAGTTCATCAGTGCATCATCAGCTTCATCTGTGCAAGACAAGGAGACACCTGATACCGTTTTCCGTGGTACCTTTCTTTCTAATCAGTTCTGATGGAAGATAGATTCCCCCCTCCAAAATCAAGAGTGATAGTGTGGCACTGAGAAGAGTCAGAGGTATCCCCAAATAAATCTTGTGTCTGTCAAAATCCTGAGGTTGTGGACAGAAGTAATGGGGATTTATTCTGATAAAATAAACTGAATCACAATTGAATCACAGGTCTAAAACTTAAAAAGTTAACATGAAGATACCAAAACAGTCCCTTTTTTATGTATATAGTCCTCAAAGTAGTCCCTTTTTGGTTTTCACAGACCTCTGGTGCATCTTGTGCTATTTTGGAAGCTGCCAAACATCAAGACCTTGGGATATCCAAGGCATACTCCTTCTGCTATCAGGAAATTGACTCCATGAAACAGGCAGCAGGGGCTATGAATAAAGCTTTGCCTGAAGAAGTTTGGATTAAAGTTGGAGGTAAACCACTTCTTTTTACTTTGCTTTCTTTTGGCTTTCAGATCTGTTGTTGTTCTGAATTTGTGTGTTTTCTAGAATTAATATGATTTTAGTGAATCATAAGGGGGGGGAGGGTGCATGTCTGAGATATGCTATAGGTAATATGGGACTGGATTTCTCCAGGTACTTGTGAGTTTAGCTCTACTTTCAAAATCATTTAGCACTCCTACCTGGAAATGAGAAAACCAGGAGGCTGCAAAGTGCCTTTGAAAATCTGGGCCTCGAGTAAGCAACTGGTTTCTTTCTACACTTTTTTGTCCCCCAAAGTTGATACAGCAGGTCCAGTCAGTATCAAACTGAGGAACATGTAAAGGACTACTTCAAGTGCTCATCAAAGGCAGGCATGAGCTCAGTGGGTTTGCTCAGAAAACAGAAGCTGGGTGGATTTTGAAACAGCAAGTGGTGCTTTAGGGCTTCTGAAGGAAGCTGTGAGCCTATCTTGGTTGGCAGTAAAACTTCAATGATTATTCCACATAAATAAAGCAACAAAGAAAAAATCCCATGATCAATGGGAGGGTCATAAATAGGTTCTTCTTTTCCTCTTTGTTTTTTCCAAGAAGAGAGCTTGTGCAAGCAAGCGCTAAACAGAAGAAGTTGCAGCAAAATAAGCCCATTGGATCCAGACATAGATCGCAAACCTCTCAGTGAAATTCAGAACACATGTGATGGTAGCCAGAGTGCCCAGGGCCCCTGGCAGGCAGCACAGTCCAGTTCAAGCCTGCAGATGCAAAGTGGTATTCAGGATGGAATGGCTCAGCGAAGAGAAAGGCATAACCGCATGGAGAGAGACAGGAGGTAATTTCTGTGAGGAGTGGTAGAACAAAGGTTTTGAAGCTGATACTGCAATTTTCCTGCCATTCTCCAGAGTCAAATGTAAATTGGACACGTCCTGCTTTACCTACAAGGACAAGTGGTGCACGTGGTGGGGACTGGGTGTTTGTTGCAGGCAAGAATGATGTATGTTGTTGTGATTGTTGGTTTTTACTCTATAAACAAACAAAAAGAGAGCTTTCCAAACACTTAACCAGTCCTATAAAGACAAAGTAACTTGTGTAAACATGACTGATGCACAAAGGCAAAGCTTGTAGCAAACAAAAGGAAGTCCCCAAAGCCCACAGCTTGTAGGCATGTAAGTAGTCTCCTCCTTCTATTTTTCCCTTCCTCTCTCCCATGGTCTCTAACCTTTTGTATTTGCCTGCAGGCGCAGGATCCGGGTTTGCTGTGACGAGCTGAATCTTCTGGTTCCATTCTGTACTGTTGATACCGATAAGGCAACAACTTTACAGTGGACAACTGCATTTCTGAAGTACATTCAGGAACGGCACGGGGATTCTCTGAAACAGGTTTGACCTCTAACTTCATTCTTGTTCTTGATAAAAACATGAAATGGCTTAAAGCTGTCACAACACAGCTTGAAGTATGTGGAATGCTTCTGTGTGATGCTGTTTTAGAAGGACTGCTGTACCCTTGAGCCTTCCTTTATTTTTATTTTCTTTTTTAAGCTGGTTTGGTTCAGCAGTGTAAAGTCATAGGATGTCCTCAGGCAAGGGTTTTCAAGTCAGATATTAAGCCCTGAGCATGATATTATCTGGACAACAATGTAGAACTGAGGTTCTCTTCATTCATTCTAACCCCCTCAATTTTCTACAAATTCCCACCTCAAAGTGGGTGAGAATATTAAAGGACTATGTGTTGTATGAGCAGCTCCCATATAACCACACCAGTAGCTGCAATTTTCACTCTATTCAGTATCTTAAGAGAGTTGGTGGAGTCTGTATAGGAAAACCTGCTTGTCTAAATAGCGGGATGGCCCCTCAGCACTTCCTGCTAAAGGGTCTTTTTTCCCCCAAAGACACTAGTGAAACAAAAACTACACATCTGAAGAAAATATTTACATTAAGCATAATTGCTATTTCTTATATTTTCATTTGTAGGAATTTGAGACTATGTTCTGTGGTAAAACAGGCAGGAGACTAAAAATCCCAAGGTCAGATGCATTTGTAACGTGTCCTGCGCAGGAAAATACGTATGGCTATGAAGACCAAGTAGCCTGACCTCTGACCACCTTGAGTTGTATGGCTAACAATGGCCCATGTTGTTTTATTTTCCCCATTTACATGCTGAATGTGAATTACAAAATGTAACTTGTAAAATATATAAATAGAGCTTTACAGAAAACAATCTTTATTCAAAATGGAAATGACAGTGAAGTGCTAGCAACAGAAATCAGTGCTCTGTTAAAGGGGCTTTGGGACCTACAAGAAAAAGTCATGACAGCTACGTATTTTTCCCCTTTAGTTATAAAAAACATGTTCTTCTTCTGTTTGTCATTCTACTTTGGGGCATTTTGGGGTTTTTCGTTTATTTGTTTTATGTAAGAGATGAGCCAGTAGAGTTAGGTATAGCTATAGAACATTCATCTGTCCTGTTATTTTAATGACTAGATGCAAACGTACTCTTCAAGTGTAAAAAGAAATTGAAGTTACTATATTAGAATGCCCATATTTTTCCATTAAAGAAATCAGATTGTTTAATGGCATAAATGCATGGTTCCTAAACTGTGCTGCTATAATGAAGTGTACATTTGCCATACACATTTTAACGTGCTTGGGCCCAAAGAGTAATACAATGGTGTTAGCATTCTTCTGTAAATACAGTGCTATTTTTAATGTCTATCCCACAGCTGTCCAAGAGGTTCTTGTGTTGTTACTTTAGTCCAAGAGTGGCATATTATAAACAGCAGATTATTTAAAAGCACAAGCTATTTTCCTATGTAAAGCTAAATATGACTCCTTTGCTCATAGGCTTTAGCATATAGGGCAGAAACAGAATAGTGTGGGAGCTGAGAATGGTTTTACTGATTTTTTAAAATAGATGATATTATAGTAGGTTTTAAAGGACAAAAATGGTCTCCTGAAAGAAATACTGTTTTAAATCACGGACATGGACAATTTTGCACCAGTTTATTCCCAAACAATCCTAGTAAAGCCAGTTCTGGGAAGCGGAATTCAGTGGCATTAGTTTGAGTATAACGACACTTACAACATCACAAAGGTTAAAAAAACAACTCCTTTTATTTTTACAACAGTTCATACAGGACTTTTTGGCTGGACTTGAGATGAGCATCCTTTCTTATTGGGGGGTTCATTCACAATTACTGTGCAAATAGCTGAAGTAGAGGTCATGAAAATGCTGTTACTTCATTTCCTTTATTATCGTATGGAAATATACAGAAATTCTTCCCTGTAAATTAAAATATATACATTTCACTTTGGCAGAATTTGACTGCAAGAGGATTACTAGTTACTGGTCTTGGCAAATAGTCGAGGTGCAATCTGAAAATTGATAACTGACAGCACAGACCTAAGCTAAGGGCTTTACTTGGGCTAGAATCTCAAGATATTGAAATACAAGATACTTAAATGCCTAATTTCCACTGATGGAAGGAGCAATTTGGTGCCTGAACACCTTAATAGCATCTGTCTTAGTGCACAAACCTGCAATAACCAAAAAGTCAGTGGGAGCAGCACCAAGGGATTCAAGTGACAAGGCTCAAAGAGTGATACAGAGAGGTCGTGATCTTTTAGCACACAGTAAGAAGGAACACTGCTTCCTCTCGCAGGTCTCTTGAACAAAGGGAGAAAGAGAAGGTGAGGTTGTTAAACAGTAAAAATTCTGGACAGTAATTGGGGGGGGGGGGGGGGGGAGAAAATACTCATAAAGCATCTTTGAATGAAAAGTTTTCATCTGATGCTTTCTTTCTCATAGAACTGTGTCAAAGTCTCCACTCAATACAATAGAAGGCACATCTGTCCCTTTAGCACTAGGAGGATTCTGTCTGTTTTCTTACAATGCACTGTTTATTTAAATAGTCAGTCACTTCTCCACTTCTTGTACTGTTATTTTATGATTTTTTGGAAGTTGATACTCCGACAGCTCCCATGCAAGCCGATGTGTCACATATTCCTGGAGTTCCCTGAGCCCCAATAGCACCAGGAGTACCAGGATCCCCTGGAAGACCAGGTTCACCCTGAGCACCATCACGACCATTTTTAGTGACTCCAGGTACACCAGGTGGTCCTAAAAAAGAAAGGGAAAGAGGTTACATGAATTATTGCCTTATTTCCTTTTTTTTTCCCCTTTTCTTTAATGTATGTGTAAATATATGTGTTACTTTAAGAATTCTTATAATCCTTTGAAGTGTCTGTACATGCGACTTGTTGAGTACAAGGTGTTGAATAAATTTAGCCTGACTCTGGAGTATATGCATTGGATTTTTCAGACTGCCTTTGGGTTGATGGTGGATGTTTAGTATTGAGTGTGTTCGATTTGCCTTTTGCTGACCAGTGTGGAACAGGATTCCACCTCAGTACTGCCTCAGTCATAGTAGTACCAAGTAATTACTAACCAGGATTATTTTACACCATCCCTGAATAGTTTGCTCAAGGGATGTCCTTACTATTGTGACAACAGGAGCGCTCACAACTGTCCCTCCTTCCCAACCACCAGCTTCCTCATTAGTGGGAGGCCGCGGCCTTCACTTGTTTTAGTTCATTGCACCTCCTTTAGTCTAGTTGTAACTCAGACTCTGAGTGAGGAAAGGAGAGTGGAGAGAATGATGATAGAGAACATCTCCCTGCCATTACAGATCAGGAGCATCCTTTCTACCTGCGTCTGCTTTCAAAACTGTGCTCGCAATGAAATACATGGCTTGTTTATTGACAAAACCAGTTTCTGCTTTGGGTGACTCAAGCTGTTACTTTTTTTTCCTTCAGATTCCAAAAATGATTCACAAACCACAAACTGCCCTAACAGCAGGCTACTGAGGCTTCCTAAAATAGGATTCTGTCTCCCTGAGGGACACTTCTATCAGCTATAAACCTGATTTTCTGTCTCAATTATGGTAGAGAGATGGTGCCTGATTCTTTTTAGCCATGGAAGTGATGAGCTGCATCTCCTGTTGATCTTACATTTCCTGAGTAGAACAAATGCTCTCAGTATCTAATATGTGAAACAGCCTCTTTCTACACGCTTTGGAAAAGAAAACATTTATGGATTAATGCAACAATTTTATGGAAGGATCTAAGACCAGGGGGTATAAATATTCCACTTCTATGAAATCATATGGGTGCAGAACCTGTAGCTTATTCATTGTACAGATGTAATCACAATTAGAAAGCTGCTTTAATAGGTGAGCAAAATAAAGACTGTTCTTGCAAGTTTCTAATAGAGACTCATTAATTTGCATAAATTAATCTTTGAATCTTTTGAGAAAGGATTTGTGACTTCAGGAGCTGGGATTAGAGCCAGGTACGGAGCAATAGCACCGCTGTCTCTCAGAATCAATGCACTGGGAAGGTGTGCTTGCTTCTGGTAAAATTAAATATGTCCAGAAACATGACATGAATTAATGAAGTTCTGCTGTTCCAACTCTCCCCACCGACTCTAACCCCAGGAAAACAACCCCACTATAACGGTTACAGGGACAAAGTGGTTGTAATGCACCACGGACACTATGCAGAGCTGTCTCTCTTAAACCATGATTGAAGTCATTTGCACAGACTTACCTTGAAGTCCTTGATCACCATCAGGCCCATCAATACCTTGGCCAACAGGTCCCTTGTCTCCCTTCTCGCCAGTGTCACCTTTAATCAAAACCAAGAGGATTTCAACAATGGCTTGTGAATTGCAGCTGGATCCAAGGTCAGGAAGAGCAAAGAACAGGAGAAGCTCAAAATCCTCAGGACATTGCTGAGATCTTTGCTTACACTGCACCCCTAAAGATGCAAAACTGCCCTCTACAACCCCAAGGCTTGACTTTGCCTCTCCTCCACTGCTGAAATGAGTGCACGTTTGCACTTTATTTATGTGGGCATAAAAGAGAAGCAGGTTGGTTTAGTCCTTCTTACCTCTGGGACCAGGATCACCCAGCTCTCCCGTTGGCCCTCTGTATCCCGGGGGACCACGAGGACCAGGATGTCCAACGCTTCCCACAACTCCAGGTGGACCCGGGGGACCAGCTGGGCCAGGCCGACCCGTCATTCCAGGAGACAAGGGCTTCCTCAGGTTAGCAGCTAACTGTGCAATTTGATCTGAAAAGAGCAATTAAACCAGAACAACTGAAAACTCCACATCCACCATCTTCACTCTTTGCTTGGCTCTTTGTTGTCTGCCACCCAGTGTGCTTAATCGAGTGAGAGCTGAAAAGCAAGTGCCTGGCATTAAAGCAGAGCTGTGTACTTGGGCAGAGCTTGCTCCCTGCACTCCTACACGCTTTGATTTTGGTGAGAAACCTGCAGGTTTTTAAGCTATCAATATTTCCTTTTTCCTAAACCACTTGAAAAAATATCAAGTATTCTAGAAAATAATATCCAATGATTAAAACAAGTTTTCTGAAACAAGCTTTCAGAGTTAACTTCATCCCAGCGATCAAATATAACCTCTAAATGAAGGACTTTAGAGGAAGAAGCCCCCTCCTTGGCCTGACCAAGGTGATGGGATGTGCTGAAGTTCACAACAGCACAGGTTAGGGCAAACCCTTGTAGCCAGTGCTTGTGGTATGTGTGTGGGGTACTGGTGTCAAAGCTGCTCTAAGCACACGCTGCTTGTTGCTGTGATGAACCACTTAAAAATACTAATCTTAGAAAAATGAATTTCATGCCAGACAACAACTGACCTCTGAATAAGCTCTTACATTAAAGGTCAGCTTATTTCTTCTTACCAAGACACAAAAATAGCAACCCACAGGAGCCGTCTTTTGTTCAGGATCTACCCATCTTCAGCTAAGCGAGGTAATTAAAGCCCCTTTGCTCTCAGTAATACTCACCACTTATCATTTCCCCACAGAGCTCTCTTATATGTTGTTCACTGGCCTCTTTGCCCTGCAATTAACAGAAGAATGAGGACACCTCCTACAAACCATGTTGTCCATAATCATCCCTGACAGAAGCTTCAGGGCACAAAACTCCTTGCTAGCAGCTCAGTAGGAAGCACTGGATCCTCCATGAAGAGGAGTGGGTTTTTCCTCCCTCTTCGAAAGATGATTGCTTCAATTCAGAAGCTCTATTCATACTAATGGCATAGATTGAATATCTAGCCTGATGTTAAAATTAATCTGGGGTTTATGTGACCTTTCCTCAATGATGAAACAGGAGCTCTGGACCAAGACAGAAGTGGTGAACAGAAGCTGTATTTTGGATTACCAGCTTCTACCTCACTTTTGTAATGAGAACAGGGACTTGCAGCCTGTGCCAATGGACACAGATAATCTGCTCATGGATGACTGTGAGACAAGGTTAATTCTGCAGAGACTTTAATTCTGAAGCTTGCAAAGTGTTAATCCTTTTGCACTGGTAAACTCCAGGTACAAGACTGTTCTCTTGCAAGCAGTTACCCACATTTGTCTGCTTAAATACAGGACCTTATTCTTTGAATATGCATCCAAACCCCGTGATTTATCCACTTGGGAGGCTCCCTGACTGTGCCCAGAAGCAGGTAATACGTACGGGAGGCCCAGGTTTTCCTGTGATGCCGGGGACGCCTTGCTCTCCCTGACGGCCCATGGGCCCTGGATGTCCTGGGATCCCCGGTACTCCAGCTGTCCCATTAGGTCCTTGGGCGCCTTTTGGACCAAGTTCTCCTCTTTTTCCTGGCTGTAATGAAGAAGGAGATGAGATTAAAACCCACTAACACTTCAAAGAGAACACATGGCCCATTAATTTCTTATGGGGATTAGTTGAGCCTTTCTCCAGGTTTCCCTAACTGATCTGGCATGTACCCTTCCTGCAATGTATGAGTGGTTTTACATACAAAGCTCATGATAACAGGGCTCCTTCCTGCAGCAAAACACATCTGAGTGTTTTGAATGCCACCAAAAGTCATCCTTGCCATAGATTTTATAGCATGCCCAGGAAGAAAACATGCTTCTGGGATATGATGCCAGGACATAGTTTATGGAGATACATCATCTAAAGATGCAATGAACATGTTTGCTCCCAAAGCTTCAGCGCATGAGCCTGCAAGGTCTGACACATACCTCTCCTTTTTGGCCGGGGGGACCAAAGGGACCCTGTTAGAAAGAGAAGGGAAATAAAGAAGAATGATCATTCAGCAACCACACACCTGAAGTAAAATGTCCCAAGCTGCAGGAAGCCACGGTCACACACACGTGGCACCTCATGGGCTTTTCTGGCAAAGAGGCCAGGAATGACAACAGGATGCTGGAGACTAGATTGAGCCCTGGCACAACAGGGAGAGGACTCCAATGACGAGACCTGCCCTGGGTACCATTGGTGAACACAGGTCCAGGCAACCTGGCTGCTTCTTGGGATGGACAAAATGCATGGATGGTTAATTCTAACTGACCATGTTAATCCTTGATACACGGTTCTCTACACCCATCTGTTACTCGAGGGGTCAATTCTACCGCATTTCAGGACACCTACCAGTTCTCCTTTGTCCCCTGGGAGGCCGTCTGCTCCAGCAATGCCCTGAAAGTCAGATACCACAATTAGTGGTGCACAAGGATTATTGACAATAAGGCTGAGACTTGGATAACCCCAGCTCCTAAGGGAGATGGGGGCACGTGCAGCTTATCCAATGCTCCAGCAAAAGCAAGTTCTCTTTTCCCAAAGCTGAGCTCTACAGTTCCCTGGCTGCATCCCAAGCTGGCACTTGGATGAAAGGCTTAATTCATACAG